TAAGATAATTAGATTATATGCACTTAAGACTATGCAATTGTGTTTTCTTATTTTAAGTGTAAATTGTCTTGTTCCATTGGCAAAATGTCACCTTTACCTCCTGTAGCCAAAAACAAATGCACTTATTTTAAGAAAATAACGACTTATCTAGATTTCGATATTTTCCAGTGTACATAAATCTTGTCCTTCTGAGGCTGTGAAGGTAAATTTTGTGTTTTGGTCCAATATTGGGTCTCAAACCTAAATAAATAATCTATGAGTTTAATAATGGAGAAGCTATTAGTCAGCCTTATATTTTATCAATATATAGAAACTATTTTTTTTTTTTGAGAATGTGTTTATTTAAGAGCAACTATGCAAATAAACAAACATCTAGAAAAAGTAGATTATATTCTATTATTTTTCTGTTTTGCAGAGGAGCTACTGCGCATGTAAAACTTTTAACGAGAGTCAAAGGGCAAAGATTTTTGTGTCCTAGGGTGGAATACGTCACCAATCCAAGGAGAAATGTGTTATAATTGGTTTAAGCGATCTGACCCAAATGCAGAGAATCACTCAGAGACCAGGGAAAAAGTTTAACAGGTTTATTGAATGTTGATGAAACACAGAAGTAGGAACTGGAACTCGGTGGACTGGTAAACCGGAACCGGAAGGTCTGAAGTAGAGGTCAAAGTGATCAGTTCTGGGACCATAGGAAAATTGACTGAGGCTTGAATATAGCTGAAGGGCAACTCACGTTTGAGGGGGCTCTTGTTAATCCTTGAATCCAGTTTGTGGGGAATTAATCCAGAGGAGAGGGAACTCATTGGAGAGCGGACAGGCAGACATACGTTGGACCCAGAGGAGTAAACGAGCGGACTGTTACTTGGTTTTCCGATGAGGACTTGAACGGATCATGTGAAGGTTTACCCCTGCTCAGTGTGTACTCAGTAATCCTTCCAGGGGGAAAAGGTCCAGGTATCCAGTTACACAGGAAAGGCTTCCTGCCGAAGAGCAAAGACAAAAACAAGATTAGACTCAGAGGAACAAAGCTTCGGTTAGACTCTGCTAATCTTAGCTTTGCTAGTGTACCCAAAACTGGAAAACACTCTGGCTTCGAGGTAGCGACAGCCAGCTGCTCAAATACTCCTCCGGTAATGATCCAACGAGCCGCAGGTGTGCAGGGAGGCCCAACGAGGAAAGGGCAACACCTGGTTGTGGAGAGAGAAAAACACAAAAACAATCCACACAAACTGGATTCCTAACAAAATTAAATGACGCTTTACTAGTCATTAAAGGTTAAATATTTATCTAGCACAAAAATATATATCAATATATTTTGAAATATTTTTTATGAATCCATCCATTTTATTTTTCGTCACGCTTTATCTCAGCTGAGGTGGCAAGGGCTGCTGGTGTCTATCTCCAGCTGTCTACTGGTGAGAGGCGGGGTCCACCCTGGACAGGTCTCCAGTCCATCGCAGGGCAACACAGAGACACACATTCACACTCACACCTAAGGAGGATTTAGAGAAGCCAATTAACCTAACAGTCAAGTTTTTGGACTGTGGGAGGAAGCCGGAGTACCCGGAGAGAACCCACGCATGCTCTGGGAAAACATGCTAACTCCATGCAGAAAGAACTTGGGCCGGGAATCAAACCTTCTTGTTCAAGGCAGCAGTGCTACCCACTGTTCCACTGAGCAGCCATTTTTTATGAATATAAATTATAAAATATAGATTTAATTTTTTAAATTTTTTTTTATGTCTTAATCAAGGTCATTTGGCAGGTGGGGCGGCGCCCTAGCGCCCTCTATTGGCCAACCTCCATTGCCAATATTTTCGGACTCCCCAGCCTGATAACAGATACCAATGCTTTTTAATGAGACCTCCTAACAGACTCTATATTGTTTCCTCCCTCCTGTCCAGTGAGCCAATGAAGATGGTAGTTCATGTAATTAGAAACTTTTAAAACAACCAACATCCTCTTTACCTCAACGTCTCTCCTCGCTTTGTCTCCCCTCAGGTTCATATGGGAACCCACATGTGGACCAACGCCCCGGCCAGGAGGGGGCGCCGGCTCTCCGTGGAGAACCCCATGGCCCTGCTGGGAGGAGAGGCCCTGAAGTTTGGGGACGTGTTCCAGAAGGACCCGGCGACCCGAACTGTGAACGTAGAGCCTGGATTCTGGAACCGTTACGCCACGGCGATCACCAACAGCCTGGCCATGAAGACCAACGAGATCTCTGTGATCCAGAACAGAAGCATCACTCAGCTTCACCCTCTTACCGTCATGAGCGCCGCCAGCGGCCAGATACCCGGCCTAAACAAGACCCGAATGGACCTGGGAAGCAACCGGCATTTTACCATGCTGATTGACGAAGGAAAAGAAATCGGAATAAACTAAAGAAAAACCGGGAAAAATCTTATGCAAATGATTATAAACATTAAAGTATTTGTAAAGCATCTTTAAATCATGGTTTCAGAGAGCAGCAGGACAGGCTGCAGTCATGGGGGAAAGTTTTCTACGCAGTAAAGAGTTCAGGTTGTTCCTGACGATCCCTACAGAGCTGCACACTGCTGCTGCAGCTGGCTGCACACAATCAATCCAAACTCTAAACGAAACACCTGTTGTCCATGTTCTAAAGAAACTGTCATTTTCAGAATCAAAGCTGAATAAAAACATTAACACTTTGTCTGTTTTTTGATGACTAAACCTGAAAAAGCAGAAGGTGGAATTTTCCCCAAAGAGCAGAAACTGTTGAGATGATCTCCTTCCAACCGCTGAGCAGGAAAAGGAAATAAAGAGGAATGAGTCTGAGAAGTTCCCCGTATCAGAGGTCATCATGAAGCACAGCCATTCATTCATCATCCCTTCATCCATCCATCCATCATCCATCCATCATTCATCCATCCATCCATCATCCATCCATCTATCCTCCATCCATCATTCATCCATCCATCATTTATCCTTCCATCTATCATCGATTATCACTTCATTCATCCATCCATCCATCCATCCATCCATCCATCCATTCATCCATCCATCATTCATCCATCCATCTATTAATTTTGTTTGCTTGTTTGTTTGCTTTACAGGATTTCTAGCTTTGTTTTTATGTCCTAAAGGTTCTGAATATTTTCCGAACCTTTAGGACATAGATGTAATTTTTTTCATCCAATCATTGGCATTTCTATCTCCTTCCAGACAGGATGTCTCCCTCTGCCATAGTCCATCCAATCAGATCCCAGAATGCAGAGAGAGACACGCCCACAGTCTCATTCCCTCCCAGTAGATTTCAGCCATAAAGGTTCTGTAAAAGCTGCACCGTGAGGCAGTTTTTAGTAAATGGGTTCAAGACTCTCTCCCTGGGAACCCCAGGTTCTTTCTGCAGACCAAACACATGACTCCTGCGTTATTTTGTTTTTCTCCAATGTCTTCAGGTATGAGGACAGATATGCATTATTAGCCTGATAGAATAGACACAGTGTCCAAATCACCAAACTGTAAACTTATCTGCTGTGCTGGTATTCATTATATCAACTCCACACCACTGCGGTGCAAAGCCTAAAGGGGCGCCTGCACAGACTGATAGTTGAAAACATACAGAAATATCTATAGATATACTCATAAATCTTTTATTATAGCAAGTTTTTTAAGCAAGTATATTCGTCTTTAGTGAAATATTTTGAAATGCAGATGCTTTCATTGTTTTGTTTCCTGTTGGAAAGAATTGATTTCTAAATATTTGCTGTGGTCTTGCTCCAGCAGAAATTTAATTTAATTTACGGCACAGAAAATACACAACAATTATAATCCCTGAGAGAATTTAAATAAGAGGAGTTCTAATGTTGCTGGACGCACTAACAAGACTGCAGAAAATATTTAGAAATATTCAAACAGTGCACATTAGGTTCATCATTGGGCCGCATTTAATTAAAACCCATTCATTAAACATTAAATATTCAAATGTTAGCAACAAATATAGCTTCTCTGTTCTGCCGTATTTTGGAATATAACTCCTGAAAGTGTTTGGAAGGCAAAAAACAAAAAGTAAGGAATTTTTAGTCATTTAAAAACCTATTAGAGGAGTTATTGTGCTCAGGCTTTTAATATTTGATCTCTGCATGTTCCTTGGAGCCATGGACACCTCTAGACAGGGGCCAATGGGGGCCAGTGCCCCTGTAGATCATGTCCTGGCCCCCGTTATGGCCCCTGTAACGAAGACATAATACTAAAAGAAATTCTAATGATAATATTTACTTGAACAGACATGGTTACTGATAGGGCCTTTGGATCTATTTCATTTTTTATTCTGTTTTACTAATTATTTAAAAACAATAAGGTGATATTGTGTCGGTATTGAGACAGGAGCCCAATTTTGATCTGCTAAATGTTTTTTTCAAAACAATAAAAAAATATATACTCTCATTTTTACAGCTGAATTTATCGGTTTTTCTTGAGTTCTAATTCAGATTCTATAGAAAACTGTAGTTTTAAAATTCCAAAATTATGAATGACCTTATATTCCAAATAACAGCTTTATTTGTTCTTTTGATAATGTTTTGAGTTGCTTTTTTACTATGCAAAAGGATTTTATTTTGATTTTAACAATAATCCAAATAAACATTTTCAAGCCAAAAATAAACATTTTTAGTTGGAAGTCATATAAACTTTGATTAAACCTAATTGAATGGAAAATTCACTTCATGCAGCTCTCTTAATATATTTAAAACCCTTGCCCTGTTTTTTATTTCATGCTTTTCTGTGCCCCCATGAACACATCATGCTGCCCCCCTGAATTCTGACTCTTTTCCATATTAAACTAAAAAAAAATTTAACTTTTTTCATTTTTTCAGTGGTCCTAATCCTCTTCTGTTTAAATGTAAAGAATTAGATTATCTCACCAAAAATTGTACTTTACATGAAAATAATATTTAGCTATTTCACCCTAAATTCCCGTAATTCCGTGAGACCGCGAACGCTTCACTGACAGAACTTACGTCTCAATATGACGTCATCACGCCCGTGCCCAGCCAACATGGCTGACAGCATCCCGTTGAATCCGGTTCGGAAAAGCTCCAGGAGAATCGCGAATTACAACTCGGGCCGACATTCCAGGTAGGTGTTTGGATCCGGGACCGGTTGTGGGCCTGGACCGGAACCAGGAACCAGTTTGTCGGTGTTTGTTTGAGTCCGGAACTTCGGTTTTTGTTCCCTCTGCTGTGACAGCTTCTGTAAAACAACCAAAACCCGAACAGAGGTCTGATTTTACTCCAAACAGAGCGACTAAAAATCTTCTTTATTCTGGAGTTCATGTTAAAAAGCAGCAGAACATTGAACTGGACCAAGTATCTGTTTTTGTGGACAGAAAAACTGAATGTAGCTAAATATAAAGGTTGCTATCAGCTAGCATAGCAGCTTGTTTGGCTTTTCAGGTCACATGATCGGTTCTGTCGATCACATCAGACTCTCTCATTTTCCTCACTTTATCTTAATATAATCAATTTAATTAAATCATTTATATTTATTGGTTTTGGTTATTGCCTTATGCTACTACACTTTTCTATTTTCCTTATCTCAGGTCACCATCTAGTTAATTTCAAATCCCTGATTACTTCTTAAAATTATTTCTTTAGATGGAATAATTATGACGGAGTATTAGAGCCAGGCTAGGGGTATATTTTCTTCTATTTCGAGAATAAAGTCGTAAAATTACAAGAATCAAGTTGTATTTTATGACAACTCTTTCCAGAAGCCCTTTCTTCCCTAAAATGAGGAATGTGGAGCATCATGTGAAGTTCTACTTTAGCATCGGTTTGACAAATCAGGGAGTCTTTTAGCAGCAGCATCAAACTGGGCAGGATGTCAAAGTGGACTCTGGTTGCTGATTGGTGGAGCTGGTCGGACGTCATCTGCTGGGCGGAGCTCCAAGCTTTCTTTCTGAAACAGTTTGCTGTATGATGACTTCATTCTGTAATGTTACGACTTTATTCTCTTAATATTACGTATTAATAGTATATTATATATCAGATATAAGTAAAAACTGCGTAAACACGCGGAATTGCTTTCGGTTGATCGTAAAGCGTTTTTTTCAGAAAAGACGTCTGAAAACCTGAAAAGTCAGGTTTCTGGGCTGTTGCTGAGAAACACAGAGTTTGAGCTCCTTCCAAAGGTTCTCTATTGGGTTCAGGTCTGCGCTGATGCATGCTGGGTAAAGAGGGAGGGGCGAGAACAACATCCGGGGACTTTGTCTGTTTTCGCTCTTCTTCTTCTTGTGAATTGCAACAGTACTAGGGCTGATGACGTTTCACGAGTACACAGATTGAGAACCGGCCCTGGACTCACAGGTGGCATCAAGGAAATTAACTTGTTGCCCCCCCTCAACGCCAGATGATAAAAGCACCCCGTGAATATATTTCTGTTTACAAAACTAATTCTTTCCAAAAATAATGGAACATATTTTACTCCATACTGCAGCGGGCGGATCTTCTTGTTCTCATTGGATCCTCAGAGGGATCAGGATCCAGTTGGGTCGGTGTGTTCTGGTCAGGATAGAGTTTATGCTTTCCTGACAGAATCTGGTTCTGGTTCTGGAGTTGGTCTGAACTGGTAGGAACCCATCAGGAACTGGATCTGCTGCTCCCCACTGAGCTCTGATGTTCTGTAAAGTTCTGCCACTGAGTCGGCCTTAAATCTTCAACCATTTGAATCAAATCCACAAACCTGTTGTTTTAGGTTAAAACCAGAGAAGGGTTTTGTTTTTTCTTGGTCTTTTTTTAATTAGGTGTGGATCAGATTCAGTGTTTCCATCTTTGTTTCCCTCGGTCGCGGCGGCTGTCTGGGTTTAGGTCGGCCCCTCAGAGCAGAAGGTTGTTCCTCCTCTGAACGATCTCAGCCGCCTCAGATTAACGTCCTCTTCTGTTTTTTTTTCCCCAGATTCTCGCTTGAAGATGAGCCGTCCAACCTGGACGAGATGCCCCTGATGATGTCCGAGGAAGGCTTCGAGAATGATGAGAGCGACTACCAGACGCTGCCCCGCGCCAGAGCGGGCCAGAGGCACAGAGGGCTGGGCTGGTTCCTGCTGGGAGGCTGGAAGGTCCTCTGTAGCAGGTAGGGCTGCTCTTTCACATCACAGAAACCAGCTTCTGCTCCCAGTCTTGGTTTAAAACTTGTTGGACAAAGAAAACAGTAAATCTGTATCTATTCTGGAACCAGATCAGGGTCCGGATGAAGGACTTTTCCATATATATGGGTCCTCTGAGCTCCAGATATCTGCCGTTTACTAACCGGCTGTCCAGGTCCCGTCCTGTATTCCATCCTGAAGCTGCTAGATGCTCATCGTCATGCTGTCACTCAGCTCTGCAGCCGATCCATTCATTCAGCTGCAGTGTTCTGGAGAAGAAAAGCATCTAATAACTGCAGAACTGGACCTGGACACCACTGGTCTACGTCATCAGGGCTCAACATGGAGCACGACTCATTATCAGAACTGCTGTGCATGGTGGTAGATGCTATGCTAACAGCTCAGAATGAGGAAGATGGGTCCAAACGAAGGGGAGCGTGTTTTTGTGTCTCAGCCTGATGCTGCGTTCAGGGTCTGTCTGGAACAGAGTGACGCGTTTAAACTTGTTTATTTTGATGGTTTTATTCTAGATTCTGTCCCAGATCTCCCATCTTTTTCCTTTTTCACTGATTGAACTCATGGAAATTGTCTTTTATTTCTCTCTATTTGGACTCTAATCTGCTTTACATTCATGTTTAACGGGACTCTTTGCTCTTAAAGGAAAAGTCCGGTCAGCAAGGTATGATCAATGGATCATTATTTATACCTAAAACTAAGACGTTCGCTGGGATTTAATGAATTTAGCGTTAATCAGTAGAAAAAATAAAATAAAACCAATAATTTTCGTGGCGATCACTGAGTCTGGGAGCGGCCATTTTTTTCCCAGATATAGTAACCCCTCCCTCCTGCCATCTTCCAGCAGTGACGTCACGGTGCGGTAAGCCTAGCGCCATTCTCCCCGCTTTCCAAGCTAAATCAATGGGAACTACTAGACACATCTGCAATCAACAACAATTATTGAAGATTTCCAGAGGACTTCACCATTGAAATTCACCAGAGCTATAGTGAAACTGACAATGCCCACGTGCATGGCAGCTGGATGCTGGAATACATCGGGTAAAAGTGGAAAAAAACGAGTTATTCCACCTTTCTGATTCCTGATCCTCCACGGACGGGTTGGTCGTTGGATCGCCAACTTGAAGAGGGAGGATTTGCCATCGAACTTCTGGCCAGAGAAAAAACCCGTAATATGGCAGCAGTCTCAGCCTATAGCAGCATAACTGTAGAGATAGCTCAGGATAAAACCTGAGTATTTTGGATGAATATAGAAGGTAAAGCCACAGTGCCTCCAAGATGGAGCCAAGGAGAAACGGCTGAAATTGCCTAACCTGACTCCGCCAGATGGATATGCGGAGCAAATCCATCTGGAAACCTTCCGTTGAAGTAATTTTGGGAAGGGGCGAAAATACTGGTTAGCTGATTGGCCTATGTTGGTGATAGACGGGCCAAATAAACCAATCAGATCAACGAAGCATATGACGTAATAACAGCCAGGCTACTCTTGCCGAAACCAGTCGGGAGAAGAGCAAAAACATTATTTTCCTCTGAGAAAAGCCTCCAGAGCAGTGTTTTGCTTTTCTTTCAGTGAAGAAATACTCTGTAATTCCGATAAAACTTGCTCTATAGCCACGCTAACGCTAGTTTCATCGGCTGAAGCCGCCATGTTCTTTAGACTGAACTGTGGCGCTTCTCGTTGCGTCACACCTCAACCCGCCTCAAAGCCAACGCTGATTGGACGTTCGTTTGGTGAACGGCTCCAAATTTTCTTTAACGGAGAGTCTCCAGACTGATTAGCGAGTGAAACCTTGAAAGCTCGCGAGATCAGGATGGTCTCACCAGGCTAGAAATTGCCCCCCTCTGCATCAGGCTGATAAAGCTTGTCCTCGGTACGCGATTGTGATTGGTTGGGAGGAAGCAGTGATTGTAGCATCAACCTACATGATAGGCTACAATGAAAAGGAAGGAAAAAACTGTGTTTCTTTATCAAACTTTTATCGACTCCTTTTTTTTTTATTGCACCCCATTTCCATCGATCAATATATATTGTTATTGAATTATCATCTGCCCTACTTATTAGTACTGGATTAGAGATCCTTTACCTAAAATCATGTATAAGTCAGTATTTAAATCATCTGGATCATAAAATTGTTCAAATTTAATGATGGGCTATTTTTTTTTGGGGGGGGGGGGGTTGGTTGCTCAGCATATTGTAAAACAAATGATCAAATATATGCGTTACGGAGGTAAGTACCCCTCTTCATATAAGAGAAAACTTAGGTTTGAAAGAAAATGTCTGCTTATCAGTTAATGGTTAAGATCAATGAAGTTTCAGTTAATTGATGAATGAATAATTAGCGTCGTTAGTTGGAACCTGTCGTTTAGTGTTTATGGTCGGACTGTCTTCCTGTCCAACATGAACATGTAGTTAATATCTTGGTTCTCTTCAGGGGAAGAGAAATTCTGCAGGTAGAGCAACCGGACCTCTGCAGCAGCTCCGATATTTAAAGCTTGGCAGCAGCAGAGATGCGTCCCTGTGCTTCTTTCTGACCCGGTTCTTACGGTGTCGGAGCACACGCGGCGCCCGATGCCGGCCATGGCGCTCTGAGATGATCCGTTTGCGTTCCTAACGCTCTGGTAGCTGTGCATGAACTGCAAAGAGAGGATAAGGACGTTTTTTTTTATTTTTTTTTTGGTTGAGTTCCTCGATTCGCACCGTCGGTCCAAAAAGACTTTTGGGGTCAAACGGAAAAGGACGCTTCCTCCGACTGATGATTCATTTCAAAGGTTCTGTCCTCGACAAGGACGCCAAGAGGAACGTTTGTTTACGGCGGAACAACAAAGTGGAACAAATGTTTGTGGCGCTGCGGTGACATGTACCGATGTAGGGAGGGTGGCTGTGCCGCTTCGTCGTTCAGGCTACATATTGAACCCCCCCCTCCCTTCTATGAACAAATGGGATATTTCACAGCTGACCAGTTTGATGCTTTCCAGTAATTTTCTGTTTGCTTAGTGCAGGATTATAAAACGCAAATAATTCCCAGTGAATAAACCCTGACTGTTCAAATGGCTTATTATTTAAATAGCATTCATTTGCTCAAATAATGGCTCTTATGAACCTGAACTGGGGGGGTGGGGGGTTGCAGAGAGGCAGAAAACATGGAGGCCAATGCAAACAACACTTTTCACCAAAGTTGATTTATTTAGCTTTATGTTTTGCCAACTTGCTCAGAAAGTGGAAAAGCCAAGTCGCTCAGCATGACGGCACACAGCGAGCGACACTGTCCCCCACACACCCCAGGTGCCAGGCCAGGTGGAGCTTGCATCAGGCTGCTTTCAACGTATTAACCCCCCCCGCCCCCCCTTCCTCTGTTTGCATTTTATATCAGATATGAGAGATAAGCCCCATGTAGTCATTAACAGGTTGAAGCAAAGTCACAGACTTTTGCAAAGCTGGAGTCTCTGCCGTCCTTTCAGTCTGATGATGAAGAGTCGTTTCCAGCCACGGCTGGTGGAGTTTTCTCTGGGGGGGGCTATAAATTCAATACAGACATATACCAAAAACCAATCAAACATAAATAAAGTTATCACACCAGTAAAATTATATAAATACCAACAATTTGTACATAAAGGCTTTGTGAAGTAAATTTGTGTTTTGGTCCTATATTGTGTCAGTACCAGTTTAATAATGGAGAAGCTATTAGTCAGCTTTATATTTTTTTTTATATATGAAAACACATTTTTTTTGATAATGTGTTTATTTAAAAGCAACTATGCAAATTAACGACCATCTAGAAAAGATTATATTCTATTATTTTCCATGTGAATCCCAGATTGTTCATTCTCTTTTGCCTTTTCTACAAAGTGCTTTAAATCAGTCCTAGCTGTCTTTATCAATGCTGGATCAGATCCTGACCTTTGGAAAAGGAGGCAGGGAAAGCAGGATAAAGCCTTAGCCTCGCTGCATGCATTTAGCCCCGCTGCATGCAGTTAGCCCCGCTGCATGCAGTTAGCCCCGCTGCATGC